ATATATATTTATTAGATGTTAACAGAAGGTTCCTATCCAGTGACTACATTGAGCAGACTCCACCATCTTAAGTACTTAATTGGACTACAGCAGTCGTTCGTGTTAAACCTTGTAGGGCTTTCAGTGATAACAAACAACTGGCTGTAGCATGTGTGCCACAGGTTCCTCACCATTGGACGGTAGTCTCATTACACCGTGAACATGATTAGATTTTAACAAACTTAAGCCTTTGTAGAATCTGGCAAACTCTTTTAGTCATCATTATAAACATTGGCTTGTCATTGTAAATAGAGCTATGAGACAGTCTCCCTTTTAAATCTCTTGGAGTTTTTAGAATATACCAAGTTTCTCCTAGCTTTGCAGTGTAGTCTCAGAACTAAAACTGAAGAGTCTCTGGTCAAGGCACTGCAGCCAAAATAACTGGACTGCGGCATGGCTGCTCTGGGCATTTTTGCTGGCTTAACAGTCTCTGAAGTTTGGCGCATGATCACTTTGGGTTGGGTTGCGACAGTTAGGATGTCAGAAGATAGTGAAACAGCAGAATCAACATTGTGATGGCCTAGTTCAATATACAGCCTTTTAAATTTAAGATTATTCCAAGATGATGTTTTACTAAAAAGTGGGTGAGTCTGGGAGTCATTTTTTAAGAGGTGAATATGAGCAAGGATTTCACATAGACATAGAAACTTTGAATGCTGCTTGCTTTTGTCTTTAACTGGGTTGGAAATACTGAGACAAATAAGTTATTTTATTGAAATATATATGTGCATTTTAAAAACATTGAGTATTAGGCGATGCATTTTGCTAGTGCATCTTTGAGGGAGGATTATTCCCTTTTATGGCAATAATTGGTAGTGTTAAAACTTTTATCTACTGTCATCACTTGTTGTAAAACATTTTGAAAATTATTTTAAATAATCCAAATAAAACAATTTGGTTTTCAGAGTATAATAGCAAGAAGTAGCAAAAAAGAGGCAAATGTCTAAAAGTAGCATTTTTATCACTGGTATAGTACCTATAATAATAGGCTTTTATAAACATGAGTGTCAGGTAATAAGAATACTGAATATTTTGGAATATGAAGACATTAGGATGAAGTGATCTGAATAGAGTAGAAATGTTTCATATTTTAATAACTGGAGCAGGTTTTGGAATTTCTTCTCTAGATTGGGCTGGGATGGTTGGTCTAAGAGTTGGAGTCTGGGTGCATTTTATTTGCATTTAAATAAATCTCTGTGACTTTTTAACACCTAGTGGTAATTGGGATAGTATATATAAGTAAATGAATACTGGAGTTCATAAAATGGCATTTGGATCCAAATTTGATACTTAGTAATTGTTCAGCCTTCAACAAAATCTGTCATCTGAATTTTCCCTCTTAGCTATAAAGTCAGATGTTTGAACTATTCCTTTAAGGTACTTTCTTTTTTGAAACACTGTCTGAAAGATCCCAAAGTCCTATCAGCAGAACATAGGTTAATTTAGTTATGGCATGTCAAGATAACAGGCTACTATGAAGCTATTAAAATGAGGTAAGTCCATAAGTGCAGATAGATTACTATATACATTTATGTATTCATCTGACAAATTTTGAGTCTTGTATACTAGGGACTTTTTGGTATTAGAAAAGAAAACATAGGTTATAGGGGTTTTATTAGATAGAGCAGACTATGAATGAACATAGTGTCAGGAAATGATAAATGTTATAAATAAAAATGAAGTACTTTTTCAAAACTTCAGGGAAAAAGAAGATATAAAATGTATTTGTGAACCCTACTGTTAGGATTTTTAAAAATGTAGGCCTTTGTTGCTATGGTGACTGGGGGGGTCAGATTATGGTATGATAGTGAGAAACTTATTTTTCCTAACTTTCTGTGCTGTTTGAATCTTGTTTGTTTTGTGTATGTATTACATAAAAAGAAAAAAAATTCTTAATATATGAGGAAAATAAATTAATGATATAGTTAACATGTTTTAGTTCAGTGTGAACCTTTTTTGGCTACTGGTCTTATCTGTGTATGCTGTCTCCCAATAATGTTTAAATCTTTTGGCTTTTGATTTTATCAGACTTTTCCTTTTTATATATCTTAATTTTCTGTATTGACATTTGTAATACTAAAACTTGTTTAAATGTAGTTTTCGTCAGTGTGCTTTAAATACCACGAAAAGAAAACCCTGAAAGTTCTAAGCTTTTTAGTAAACACATCTTGCTTATTGCATGTATTCCTTAGGATAAGAATATTTTGACATTTTGACTTCTGTGTCTTAACTTGAATTTCAGTTTTAGTATGTTTACTTTTAGGTTCCAAGCATCACTGAATTTGGAGAATTCAAATGCGATCACTTCTTTTTTTTTCTCCCTTAAAAAAAAAATCAATATACTAAGCATCTTTCCTGATTTTTATCTCTGTTTTTTCCTAGTTGGATGAAAAATCTGACAAACAATATGCTGAAAATTATACGAGGGTGAGTATATAAATTCCTGTGGGAATTACATTCCCAAAGTCAATTAAACTTACTTTCTATGCCTTGTTCATTCTTTTTTTACTGTAATTTATCTGATGGAGTTGCTCTTCCTTCATCTATTTCCTGTCCGTGACCCCTCAAAATTCCTCTGAAGTTAAATCATGTGAAGCCCTGGGAAAAGAAAAGACTGCATTTATTGTATGTCACTTAGTTTTTGGCTGCTCTTTTGATTTTTATTTCTCTAGAAATTGATCCCAAGAAACTATTAAACACTATAGTGTCTGTAGAATTGATGGTAACAAACTCTGAGGACTTTGTCTTTTCTGTTAGATGAATCTTTCTTGAAGTAAAATAGCAACTCTAAAAATTGCTTTTGTGATACTTTGTAATTTTCTTCTAAAGGAATTTTTAGGAACTCAAGGAAATGATTTTTAAGGATCAGTATTATGTTGTACCCCCCAAAAGATCAGCTCTGTCAAATAGGAATATAATGCAAGGCGCTATTGTAAGCATGTGCAAGTATAAATTTTCTGGTAGTCTCATTAAAAAAGTAAAAGAAATAAAAGTAATATTTAACCCAAATATCCAAACTATTCTAACATATAATCACAATGAAAAATTATTGAGATTTTGTTTTATTTTTTTCTATACTTAGCCTTCCAATTATGTATTTTACACTTAAATCTCAGTTTGTACTAACCATATTTCAGGTCCTCAACACACACATGTGGCTGACAGCTATAATTGGATAGCACAGATTTGTCATTCATCAGTCAGTACCATAATCTTAACGTTTAAACTGATTTTGGGAAGAGCAGTCGATTTCTGCTAAGAAAAAAATCTTTGTATTTTTGAAAAAGCTATTAGGAAAAAAATAGATTCTTGAGTTTAAGGTATTAACTAGAGAAGTGTTAATTACCATACTAGTTACACAGTTCTATAACTGTTTTAAATTAATCTGATATGCATGCCGTAGTATTATTTAAATATAGCAAAGATGAAATTAGAAAATAAACAACTCCCATACAAACTTTCCTTCTTGGTTAATTTGAATTCTAGATTCTGGTAAGATTTTTATGCTTAATATGCCCAGTCTCTGTTCTTAATCTTTCCTCCCCCTAAACCAATTTAAATATGCATCAGTTGTACTTGGTAACTTCTGAAACTCATGTTTGCTCTACCCTAGCCCATCTCTAGTGTCCACAGCAAACAAGAAACAAAGATTCAGCAGTGTCTATTTCTTGTTTCTCTAGCCTTCATCTCGAAATTCTGCTTCAGCAACAACTCCTCTGAGTGGAAACTCATCCAGACGAGGAAGTGGGGACACCAGCAGCTTAATAGATCCAGATACCTCACTGAGTGAATTGCGGGTAAACCGCAGTTTTTGGTTTGCTTTTTAAAAAGTCTTTTGGTTTCTTTGTAGAATACTGGAACTTTTAACATTTAATGTGACTTACTAGAAAGGAATATGAATTCTTTTAAAAAGATGCATAATACAGTTTAGAAATTTGAGTTGGATGTTTTAGAGCCTGAAAGGAATGAGTTGAGAGGGTTTTTGTTGTTGCTATTGTTCTCTTTTTTGAAAATTTAATTGTGCTGGAACGAATACTGCTAATGCAAAAAAAAAAAATCTTCATTACATATGTAAAAATACTTCTCTCAAAATTAATTGGCCATGTTTTAAATGGAAAATGTGTGGATTTACAGAAAATCAGACTGGGAATTATTAGTCTTCTGAGCCATTATAATATTATTTGGCTGATTGATAGTTATCTCAGTTTTTCATAGTAATAGAAATATAATTTTGTTTGTATAGCAGAAATATTTAAGGTAATGAAAAGCTTATTTGACTATTAGTTGAGTTTCCATCCTCATCGACCCCTTTGTTTGGAAGATGAGAACTTAAAAATATGCTTGAATGTCTGTTTCCTGAGCCTGCTGTTAGGAATGGGAATAACTCATTTCTTCCTTTCTTGGAAGGAGAACTGATCCAGTCCAGCATGGTGATGACTTTGAAGGTGTCACTATTTATTAAGCTCTTTATCAGAATTTACCAAGAATTAAGTGCTAGGTGTTCCATCAAAGAAACAAATTTTCACCTTTAGATGCTAAGGAGGGGCTTCGAGCATCAGTCTTAGCTTGTTCTTTTCATATTACTTGGAGCTTATTTTTCTCCCTTGAGAAAAACACCTCTTTGAAGAAGGTGAGATTTTTTTGTGTCTCAGCACCTGATTCCTCATAAGTCCTCAGTAAATGTCTCTTGCATGAATCAACGAGTAAAAGACATATCTACAAGGAAAGAAATGAAGGGAGTAGGGAAAGCATAATACCAAAAATGGGTATTATTGATGTTGATTGTAACTGTAGAATAATACTCAGGGCCCTGTGGTGGTTATATTCTCCCTAAATTGAGTTTCCAGAATAGACCTTACTTAACAGGACACAAGGAAAACAGACACAAGGAGAGCAATATTTTCCATTTAAACTTTGACCTGTTTCATTTATAAGAATTATGGTAACATTTGGAGCAAATA